TCCATTCCCTTGTAAATAAACCTTTTATTAACCTTTTGTATGTGCCTGCAGTTGAGTATTAATAAGTCCCTTTTAAGCGTGCAGGTGAGGATCCACAGTCAGGCAACCTGGGTTTTATACTGGCATTGCCCTGTAACAATACCAGGGTCTGAATCCTATCCTATCACCTACTGGTTGAGTGACTCAGCAAGTAACTTAAGCTCTCTGAAATTTAGTCTCCTCATCTGTGAAGTGGAGATAATAAGACTGAAATGTAGGTCTGCTACTCCTAAGTGGCCTGTTCAGCCATTTTGTCACCTATAGTTCTAAATCCTAAGCAAAGTCAAAATGGCCTGGTTGGTTAGGTACAGGAGCCCACGCCTGCAAGGTGCCCTTCAAATCAAACAAGAGCACAAAGCTGAATCACGCTGGGAAGGCTATGCATCATGAAGTATGACCCAGAACACCAAGGGGGCTGAGGACTGATGTACAACAAGGCACCACAAAAGCTGATTAGTGGAACGCCTTGTTCCACTGATAAGATTAAAACCATGGCTGGGGAATTAGGGTGTGATCTCCATGACAATTCTGAGACATCAAGCAGATGAGAAGTGCCTGGAGGGCAGACTCACAATCCCTGATCTTCTACATTCTTCCCCTTTCTTTAATCTCCTTCCCCTTAATCTCCTTCCCCTTTCCTTTTCCTCCTCCCCTTTAAAACCTATGCTGTGTATCAATAAAAAGGCCAGGATCTTGCTCTTCGGCAGCATCCTGCATTATGTAGCTTGCTCCAAGACTCCTTTTCTTTATCAGTGTGGTGTTGCCCAATGCAACAACACTTAAATACATGAGACTGCTTTGAGGGGTAATTGAAACAGCCTATTCCTTGGTAATTACCAGGCACTCAAAGAAAACATTTTTTCCCTTTCCCCCTTCCCCTAAGATTAAAAATCATTTAAGTCAGGACATGAAAAACATTAAACAATATTCTAGAGAATTGCAAGTAAAAATACAATATAGTATGTCTTTAAGGCCATTTTTAACATTTGGAAATGTGTGCTTTTAAATAAAAGCTCTACAAATATAAAAGGGAATGATTTATTCACTTCTATTGTTTTCTGGTCTTTTATCAGCTAGAGAATGAGAGAATGAAAGTTAATTAATGCAGTGATTGTTAGATCTCTGAGTTAACTGCTATAAAAACCTCTAAATTAAATTCTCTTTATAAACAAACTTTCACTTCAAAGTACAGTGTCTTTGTAGCTGTGCTGTCATTCATAATCAGGGGTGGGAGGGGTGGGCAGGGAAAACATAAGAAAAGAGACCTGCCTTGGGTGCAATAAGTCAGGAAGGAAAGTCTGGATCAGCTACTCAGGTGCCCATGCAATGTCATGTCCTCCCCCAGATGTCCGACGTCTTCCACTGGTCTCCATATTTCTGCTTCCTTGTAAGGATGAGGACTGAAGAGCAATTTTAAATTAGTTTTTCTGTCTTATTCTCTAAAATACAAAGCAGATGGTCTGAGAGGAAACCTTAAAATATTTCACAAATTGGGCCTCCTTGGTGGTGCAAGGGGTTAAGTCTCAGCACTATGAAGCTATTGACAGCTACTGCCACTGTGGGCATGAGTTTGATCCCTGGCCAGAGAGCTAACCCACATGGCGCGGCAGACCTCTCCTGTCTCGCCCACTGCTCCCTCAGCAGTGTATTGCAGTAGATCTGCAGATATTGCTCTCCACTCTGTCTCTGGTGAATCCTCTCTCTCTCTCTCTCTCTCTCTCTCACACACACACACACACACACACACGCACGCACACCCCTCTGGCCTACACCCCAGCTCTTGTATGCATAAATAAAAACAATAGTCTTAAAAAAAATTCACAAATCACTAACTTGTTAGTAGATGTTCCATAATAATACAAGACAAAGGGTGTCAGCAGTATATAAATTTTTTTTAAATGCATTGTCTTAGATTTTGTCCCAAGAAAGACGCATTTAAAGCCAGCTTATTTAATGACCTGCCTTTTTTTCTCTGTCTTGTTGAAAGTACATCTACCTCTGGGTCCAAGAAAGAATCAAGGGCAGGGGCTGCAGAGAACTGTGAAGTCAGCAATATTGAATTTATCTGGCTGTCCCATCTCACAAGCACACATGCATCTTTGTGTCACTGGGAATGAAACTCTGGAAAGTAGGGAGGTGTTTAAAGTCCTGTCTCTGCCAACCTGCCCCCCACCCCCTCAAGGGTTTGTGGGGTGGGGGTTTGATCTGGAACACATCCCTGGCTTCTCTGGGTCAAATTCCATTCATAGGTAAAGCATCCGGGTTGGACTAGATTTCTGAGTTCTTTTGCACATCTAAATGTTCTGCTGAGGTGTGACTGAACAATGAACCTTCACAAGGGGGTGGTAGCAATTTTCACATTCCAGTCTGGAAACAGTTCCCTAAGCATTGTGGCCACTGGCCCCATAGCAGCTTAACTTCAGCTGCCTAAGCCTCCCTAAGGCTTTGGGCTGCCTTCTGCCCATTTCATCTAGTCTGGTCCCATAGCCATTTGAGATTTTGGCTCCTGAGATCTGGTCTTATGCTAAAGCTGGGAGTAGGATATGTGTGATGACAAGCTCATTTTCAGTTCTTAGCTGGTAGGTAGGTACAAACTAGCCTGAGGGGATATGGGAATGTTGATCACATACACTCTATATAAATCTGGAAAAACTTGGCAGAAATGAGATCAAGGACACGGCAATTTCAGAAATCAGTTAGTGGACCTAGAAATATTTTTTTAAGCAGTATATCGTCATCTCCTAAATCAATTTCACATACATTGATTGGTTCAACCAAACATCAAGATATGTGCTCTTGTGGTCAGGAGATATTTGGATCAAAGAAAAAACCTAGGGCCTCTCTGGTGGCGCAAGGGGTTAAGACACAACCTATGAAGCTATCAGCAGCCACTGCAGCACGAGTTAGATTTCTGGCCAGGGAGGTGACCCACATGGGGCAGCAGACCTCTCCTGGCTCACCTGCTTCTCCTCTCAGTGATGCCGGTGGAACTCGTGGTAAAGCCGCAGCAGTTGTTACACATGCCGGCATCATCAGCAGTGTATTTCAGTCAATCTGCCTGTTATGTTTCCCACTCTGGTGAATTCTTTCACCCCCCCACACCTCTGGCCTATATCCCAGTTCTTGTATGCATAAATAAATAAAATTTTAAAAAAGAATAAGAAAAAACTTTTAAAAATATCTTTTATTAAAACATATAGTGAAAAGTACACCATTATCCATTTATAGGTAAATATGTTAATACAAAGTGAACACACTTGAATAACTACCACAAACCAGGTCAAAATGAGAGTAGGATGAAAAGCCCCTATTATGTCTTATCTCTTCCCAGAAATAAATGTTTGATGGTGTTGACAGTATCATTAACATCATTTCTCCATTTTTCTGGAATCATCTTCCTCTTATATTTACTATTACTTAACCCCCACCCCCCAGTCCCAGTCTTCCCTGTTTTAGAATAAAACAAAAATGATTATCAACTAGCACTGACCATTCTCTTCCCTATAACCTGAAAGTCAATAAATTGGGTAAGAATGGATGGTATGGGGGGACAAAAATGATGATGACCTGCATGATTTCTGTAACACAACTTCACATGTGTGGTCGAGTTCCACAGTTTTTGTGCTTGTTTTGTTTTTAACTCTCTTCTCACATTGGCTGATGCAGGCAAGATTCTTGGAATTTCATTCTCATTTTATAGATGTGTAAATCAAGGTCCAGAAAGTTAGGGAACTTAATCTTGTCTTCAAAAATCAACCCTTTGCAAACTGTAAGGTCTTGGTTTTGGTCGGAACCGAGGCATTCAGTGTACAAAGGCGGCTTCTCATCCTGTGGTAGGTGGCCCTTTGAGAAGCTAGTGGGAGGTATGATGCCCCTTCCCAGAAATATGTATACACAGAAGAACTCAAAAAGGACATGGCATTTCAGGAGGTCCTGCATTCTGCCAGTCACTGGCACCTGTGGAATGTCCCCAGTCTGCTGCAGTCGATAATGTACCCATCCATCTCAGCGCTCACGCCGTTCGTTGCCTTACAGTGCAGGACAGGGGTGCACTGTTAGTGCCATCCACCTGTCCGGCAGACTGAACTTGCTTAGCTGCAGCCTCTTTCCCTCAACACGCCGTGTGCACAGTGAGGGCCCCCTCCTTTCCCCTGTTGCTGTCACAAAGGACAGCACTTGGCATCCTCATTCCTTACAGCCCAAGAGCACCGACTCCACAAAGTTCTGGTACCCGTCTCTCCGGGATCTCTGCCAGCTGGTCCACAGCTCCGGCCAGGAGGGCACCCCACGAGCGCACCCCAGGAGCCAGGGAGATTAGGGGCGGTTCGCCCTCATATTTAGACCCCTACTCTCCCGAAATGATCACGGTCCTTCGCGCAGCTCGCTGGGGGCCCCTGGGGCGCAGCGGGGCGGCGGAACGCGCTCCAGGGCGCACGGAGAGAGCGCCTGGCGGGCGGTGCCCAAGTCTCCAGCTGCCTTGGTGGCTCCGGGACCCGCCGAGGCCGGGGCTCCAACAGTGTCCTCCCTTCGGCTGGCTGGGTCTGGCCCGGCCCGGCCCGGAGCCTCTAGAGCAGGCGCAGCGCCCCTACCGCCCATTTTCCGCCTCCATCTCCTCTCCACCTCCCCCCACCGCCGCCCCCCCGCCCCGGCCCAGCCACCCGCGCAGTCACAACCGGTTCAGACTGGCCAGAGTGCCCCGTAAAGAGGAGAGACCGGGGAAAAACAGTGGGAATAACTTCCCAGGGTGGAGGAGGCGAGAGAGGTGGAGCCCAGAGCAGGGGGCCGGCCGGCTCCCTCCCTCCATGTGGCCGCGCCGCCGCGGGGTACGGCGGGGGCAGAGGGCGACGGCTCCCGGGGCAGCACATAGCGGGACCGATTGCCCAATACTCCGGCCAGGGCCTGGCCCGGGATAAATAGCCGCCAGCCCGGCCGGGCCGCGGTCCCCACCGCACCACCCGCCCGGCCAGCCCGGGGCTCTGTGCCCTGTGCCGCGCCCCGGAGCCCATCGCCGAGGCCGGCAACTCAGGTAAAGGTTGGAGCTCGCGGGGAGGGTCTCAAGGGTCGGCGGCCACCCGCGCCTCCTCACCTCCTGGAAGCGAGAAGTAACTCCTGAGAGTCTGAGCCGGAGGTGGCAGCGGCTGTCACCAGTGGCCGAGCTTCTTGGAACCGGGTTCTTGTTTCCTGGGTGTGCCTGGAGCTGAGTGCCCTTGGTGCTCTCGTGCCCACTCGTCGACACCCCACTTTTGATGGGGTGCTTTTACGCCATAGGCAGATTTTCCCGGGAATCTGAGAACTGCATTTTGCACGGAGCTGGGGTGGCAGGAGGGAGAGGTGGAGGAGAGAGCGCGCGTGAGACAGCTGACTTAGCGGGTTCTGGAGGAGGGAGGACTGCACCCCAGAAGAGCTCAGGGTGGAGTTCTGCCCCGAGACAGTTGTGGGGCTGCTAGTGGCAGAGCAGAACTTGGGGCAGGGATGCGACCAAGGTGGGCCCCTGTTCCCCAGAGATATTAATCTCCATGAGTCCTGGGGGGGAGTTGGTGCACGCGGGGAGGGTTAGGGCGCCGATTGTGCTCCTGGGCTGCGAGGAAAGCCGCGCCCGGGGCTGGCAGATTCTGCCCAACCTTGCCAAGTTCAGCACCACTTGGTCAAGCCCGGGGCGAGCGCCTGAGCCCAGCGCCCGCGACCGCCGCGGAAAGCGTTGTCACCTCCGCGGCCTGGACGCGATGCGGGAACTTGGGAAGGTTTGGTACTAACCACTTTATCCTTGGCTCGCTCCTAGTCACCTAGTCTGGCTTCATCAGCGCGCAGAGGCTTTGAGAGAGCTCATAACCAATAAAACACTAGGTCATCCAAAACAAATCAATGTTTCTTGGGATGCGACGCCTGTCTAGCGCAGGTCAGTCCACTCTGGAGTTTAAACAGGATTTACACTAAATATATCACTTAATTACTTATATAGTAAGTTACTTAATATGACAAACTTCGTACTGTTTTCCTGGGTTACGGGTAGTTGGGTGTAATTTTTTAAACTCTTGATTACTTCATAGTAAATCAGATTGCAGATAGATTCCTCACCCCCAAAGTAGGATTTTTACTTGTTCCATGGACTTCCCTTTATTTGGTATGTCCTAACAGTTCCTTAATTTGGGTTGTTTTTAGCTATAAAAAATGCTGGCTGGTTCAGACAGAGAAGAGGACACTAGAGAGAATTCTGAAATGAAGGCACAGATTATGCATTAAACAATTAAAAAATATATGTAAATTTTTAAAAATTTTTGCTTTTAAAAAATATGTGAATGCAGACAATAGGATTGGTATCCATATCATTGCCAGAGTTAAGTTTTTTTGTAAGGCCCAGGGAAGTAGAAATTACTTAATAAAATAGTTTAATCCATAAAATTTAATCTGGAATTTTGCAACAACTCATACTTTTAGCACCACTGACTGCCTAAGACTATCCTTTTCTGTTTCATCCCTTTTGTGTATACCTGAGTGGGGCACCAAGAACCTTTCATATCTTTATGATGAATACACGGAAGAACCAAAGTTATGGGGTGTAATATCAGGACCTTAGGAAATCTTTTCTGACTTTTGACTTTGCAAAAATGGTAGTGATGTTGCATTGGTTGTTATCTGAATCTGTATCTGAGCAGATCGTGGTGCTTTAGGTGATCATAAAAATAGAACTAGAGAATGACCATTAGACACATGTGGTCAGATTTTCAAGCTTTACTTCCTTACCCCAGTCTTTTAAATTCCCAAATTTTTAGTATTTTTCTAAAGTGAGATATCTCTTGAACTTAATCCATGGAATGAATATAGGTGTAGAGGGTCAGTGGGAGGGCAGAAAAGAAAATGTCTTGCTTGTCTAACTACAACTTTCTAAGAAAATATCACCCAGTGGTATCAATTTTAATTAAAGATTAGAACAATGTGTATAGTTTGATCTAGCTGGTCTTCTCTTTGGGAGTGTTTTTATGGATACCAGTGTAGTCCCTGTACATAATGATATTGAACTAAGGTTAATATTGACTTCAAGGAAAGAACACATGGTTCCCGCTTTCAGAGTTTAGTCTAGTGGGAAAGATAGGAATATTTACAAATATCTACAACACAAGATAATATAAACGGAATCATGACAGCAACATCAATTGTGTGCAGTTAAATTGGCAGAGAAAAGAAGAGGTTGATCCAAGGTTAAGAACTGAGAAAAGCTTTGTAGTAGCTGTAGCATTTGAACTGGCACTTGAAGGAAGAGGATTTCCTTCATGGTGAGGCTCATTGGATCAAGGGTATAGCAGAGTGGTACTGTTGTCGGGTTTATTCAAAGGAATCAGGTCAGCTTGGATTGGCTAGTTTCTGTAATTTAAGATTAAGACTGGGAGATAGGGTTGGGTTAGATTTTGGGGAATATGACAAACCATGCAAAATGATTACCACAATAAATTTGGTTAATATCTATCACTGTGTATAGCTACAAATTTTATTTTTGATGATAAGAGCTTTTGAGATGTACTCTCTTAACTTTCAAATATAGTAGTTCCCCCTACCTGGAGACAAAAACATTCCAAGATCCCCCCTACCCCAATGGATACATGAAACTGTAGCTAGTATAGAACCCCTGTTTTTCTTGTAATACATACCTATGATAAAGTTTAATTTATAAATTAGGCATGGTTAGTGATTAACAATAATAAAACAACATTAGTACTGTAATAAAAGTTATATGGATGGGGGCTCTCTCTCAAGATATCTTATTGTATGTAATATTTTGCCACCATTGTTAATCATGGGTAACTGAAACCTCAGTGAAATTGCAGAAAAGGGAGTTACTACTACTGCATATTATACTGTGTTACTTATAGTTATTGTGTATATTACCCATTATTCTCATTAATTTTATTTACAGATTCAATGATGGGACATATTCCAATGTATGTGTGTTGTGTATACTTATGCATACACACACACACATACATATATTATAATCCCATACTTTTAATAATCCACCCAAAAGAAACTCCTAAACAGTTTGAGATGAGTGGGGATATGAGCTGAGAAAACCATTAGCAAATATGACAGCATGAAATACAAAGACTGGACTGCCAGATTCTCTATAAGAGTGTCAATTCAAATATAATTCTTATTATTCCCAATACATCTGCCAAATGCACCAGATTGTTTTTTCATTTCAGCATCCTATATATGTTGCCATGAGTCCTGATTTTTTTTTTTAATATTTAACAGGACAGGTTTATTATAAAAAGGGTAAAAAGGGAAGGGAAGTAGGGGATACTTGCACGGACACAAGCGGGAAGAAAGAGCTGCCTCTAAACTGGGCAGGTTTGTTACAAGAAGAGGCCTGCATAGTCACAGGAGGGCAGCCTTGGGAGAGCTGCCTCTGCTGCTTTGCAAAGGGAGAAGGTTGAAGAGAAGCACCTGCATAGTTGCAGGCAGGCAGGAGCCCTACTGCTGTCTTGATTTTTTAAATTCAGAAAGTGACATAGCAAATGTACTAATTTGTACATGATACACTAACATGTGTATTCAGACAACAGAGTGCATTCTACATAATCACATGGGAATTATACAAAACACACATTAAGCAAAAGAACACAGTTAAATAGTTAGCATCATCACAGATTTCTTCACCAGAATACTATTTAGGCCAGTGGAGAAAATGTGCCCATTCAATGAGGGCCAATGTTACTCAGTTGCAGCTAATTATTACATAACAATGAGGGTCCTGCATTGCCAAATCCTCTGATTTTCATGAGAATTCAGAAATTCTAATTTTTATGTAAAATTTCCCAATTTTGTAAGAATGGCAATTCACTTACAATTGCTTAAAAACAATTGGGTGGGTCAAAAACAAAAGACTTTTGGAAACCAAGAGATCAGATTTGGCTTGAGTATTGCCACTTTGCTAGATGATTTCCACGGTTCCTTCAGGCTTCAGACTTACATGATCCAGACTCAATTTGTCTTATCTCTAACCCGTTTCTTCCCCTTTGCTAAAACATATTCATTCCAGTGCTCACCATTCTTTAAATTATGATACCTTTTGGAGGAGCTCTTTGGTAAGTAATGGACTATGATAAATCTATAAGGCCTTAAGGTCAAACAAAGTCCTTTTTACATAGCCCTGCTATTGATATAATTCAGAGGCCCCAGCAGTTAATTACTTGTGCTAATTATCCCTTTCAGGGACAATTTGTGAGGTTTAATTCCGGACCCAGTGCTGTTTCGATAAACATTTTCCTTCCTGCTCCTCCTCCTCACCCCAATGTGAGATAATAACCAGTTGGAAAATTGATCCTTGGTTTCCATTTGGACAAGGTGTATATTGTGACTTATGGTGTTCAGACAAAGAAATCTTTATCACTTTCACTTGGCAAGATTTTACCATGTAGTCTGCTTTTCTTTCTAAACAGAGCTGTCTGGAGATGTTCTTGAATTGTAGCTAGTTGAATTAGTTAAGGGTTTGGCTGTTAAATGAGTTGTGTTAATACAGTGGTGTAAGTTTTTTTTTTTTTTGAAGCATATTTATATGGATCCAAGCAATTAAATTAAAGCAAAAGTAATGGATTATGTATAATTCCAATCCTAAATTATTTTGATTAACTCTGATTCCTTGGGGAACTGTGCCATGAAATTTTTTTAAAGATTTATTTCTATTAATTTATGCATATAAGAACTGGGGTCTAGGTCAGAGGTGCAGGGGGTAAGAGGATTCACCAGAGACAGTAGGGAATAGAAAAGGCAGATCCACTGAAATACACTGCTGAGGGGAGCAGTAGGTGAGTCAGGAGAGGTCTGCTGTGCCATGTGGGTTAGCTCCCTGGCTGGGGATTGACCTCATGCACAGCAGTGCTTGATGGTAGCTTCATAGGGCTGAGACTTTAACCCCTGCGCCACCAGGGAGACCCTGAAATTCTTTAGTATACTTTTTTCAAGCTGGGTTTCTGGGATTTGACCGACTGATGTAGTCTTCACTTTACATCAGTGAGTTATTTTATAAATGAG